CTCTTTTTTTCTTAGTCAACCTAGCCAAAGGTTTGTCAATTCTGTCGATCTTTTTCAAAGAACCAACTTTTGGTTTCATTGATTTTCTCTATTATTTTTCTATTCTCGATTTCATTTATCTCTGCTTTGATCTTTATAATTTTCTTCTTTCTGCTAGCCTTGGGTTTTGTTTGTTCTTTTATTGGTAGTTCCTTAAATTATAAAGTTAGGCTGTTGATTTGAGATCTTTCTTGTTTTTTTAACGTAAGCATTTGTAGCTATAAGTTTCCCCCATTAGCACTGTTTCATTGTATCCCATGTTTTGTAATGTTGTGTTTCCCTTTCATTCATCTGTAAGCATTTTCTAATTTCCCTTGTGATATCTTCTTTGATCTGTTGGTTGTTTAGGAGCTGTGTTTAATTTCCACAAAGTTTGCCTTCTGTCACTGATTTCTAACTTCACCCCATTGTGGTCAGAGAAGATACTTTGTGGATATCTATTTGACAAAATCTATTGAGACATAATTTGTAGTCTAACACATGGCCTGTCCTGGAAAATGTCCCATGCACACTTGAGAGGATGTGTGTTCTCTTGTTGTTGGCTAGTGTTCTCTGTATGCCTGTTAGATCCAGTTGGCTTATTGTGCTGTTCAATACCTCTACTTCCTTACTTATTTTCTGTCTGGTTGTTCTGTCCATTAGTGAGAGTGGGGTATTGAAGTCTACAACCGTTATTGTGGAATATCATGTGATGAATTGTCTATTTCTCCCTTCAGTTCTGATGGTTTTTACACCATGTATTTTGGGGCTTTCTTGTTACATGTGTACGTGTTAATAATTATTATATCTTCTTGATGAGTTGATGCTTTCATCATAATAAAATGTTCTTCTTTTTCTCTAGTTACCATTTTTGTTGGTATTTTCCCCCTCTGGCTTCCTTTAAGATTTTATCTTTGTCTTTCTTTTGTTTGTTGTTTTGCAATTTGAATATGATATACCTAGGGGTAGGTTTTTGGGTATTTATCCTGTTTGGTACTTTTTGAGTTTCCTAAATCTGTGGTTTGGTGTCTGTCATTAATTTTAGAGACATCGTAGCCATATTTCTTCTATTCCTTTCTCTCTTTCTTCTCTTTTGGCTATTTCCATTAGGTGTGTGTCACACTTGTTGTAATTGCCCTACAGTTCTTGGATATTCTGGGGTTTTTTTCACTCTGTTTTTCTTTGCTTTTTTGTTTGGGGTGTTTCTATTGACATACCTTCAAGCTCACTGATTCTTTTGTTGATCATGTCCAGTCTACAGAAGAGTCCATCACAGACATTCTTCATCTCTGTTACCATGGGTTTTTAAAGAATTTTTGCATTTCCTTTCGATTCTTTCTTAGAGTTTTCTTTTCTCTGCTTACATTTCCCATATGTTTTTGCATGCTGCCCACTTTTTCAATTAGAGCCCTTAACATATTAATCATAGTGATTTTAAATTCCTAGTCCACTAATTCTGGAATCTCTGCTCCTTCTCATTCTTGCTTGAGTGCTTGTTGTGTCTCTTCAGGCTGTTTTTTTCAGCCTTTTTAGCATGCCTTGTAATTTTTTTGTTGAAAGCTAGATATGATATATTAGGTAAAAAGAACTGAGATAAATAAACCTCTAAAATGAGCTGCTGTATTTACTTTTTGTTCCAGCTGTGATGTCAGAGACTAAAATTGCCTCCAGTGTCCTTTTTTTGTTGTCTCCCCTGCTGTCTCCATGTTTCCCTGTAGACTCCTTCTTAAACAGAATCTGAACTTTGCAGCTCTTTCAGTTGTAACCCTCCATTATTATATGCGAGCCTGAATGATGCAGTGGCAAGGTGTGAGAGGAGGGGAAGCATTCTGAAATAATCCTGGAACTAGGTCTCACTCACACAGCCTGGCCCCTAGGCTGTGTCCTTCATAAGTGCTTCTCAGCTCCCCCACCTTAGGTGAGACAGGAAGGCTGGAGGGGGCTGGGGTTGGGCCCTTCCCCTATGTCAGTTAAGCTCTGATAAAATAGATCCCCCCCATCCAGGGCAGGCCTTTGTGATGGAGAACAGAATGCTCTGGTGTACTTTAAAATGTTTACTTTTTCTCCTCCCCTACTAGGAGTGTGAGGGGATCTTTCTTCAATATTCACCCTGAAAGCCTGATGAGGCTCCTGGAGGTTAAGGCTGTGCCCCTGGAAGTCTCTCTCTGAAGCTGGTCCCAGCTCAGTCTCCAGCAGTCACTCTCTTAGTCTTCCTGCCAGTTGCTGCAGTTTCCATTCCTGATAAGCTGTGGTTCTTTATATTCACCTGTCTCTCCAGTTTTGGGGTCTGTGCTTCTCTGGGACCCCAATTCTCTGATGGAGCTAAGAAGAGTTGTTGATATTCAGTTTTTCAGCCTTTTCTTGTTGTGAGGATAGAAATGACGAGCCCTAGCTCCTTACACACCAGACTGGAAACCACTGGTCCCCCGGTCTCCCTGGAACCCACTCTGCTGAGACTTTCCTCCACACCACCTTTCTGAAATGGCTTTTGTCGAGTCACTGATGTGTGCATATTGCCATTCCAATGGTCATCGTCACGGTCAGCCCGTGAGCAGCTTTGACACAGCTGATCACGTCCTCTCTTTGTAAATAATATCTTTACTTGGGTTCCAAGCCATTCTCCCTCTTGCTCCTCGCGCATCCGTGACTATTCCTTCTAGGTCTCCTTTCCTGATTCCTTCTTCTCTCCTTGACCTTTAAACCTTGGGGGGGGGGGTACCAGAGTTCAGCCTTTGGACTTGTTCTCTTCTCTGTCTACGTGGCTTGAAATATCATCCATATGCTCACAGCTCCCAATTTTATATCTTCAGATTGGACTTCTCCCCTCAACTTCAATTCAAATGTTCACCTGGCCACTCAGACCTGCTCCCCTGAGGTCTTCTCATCTCAGTAAAAAGCAACACCACCTTTCCTTTGTTCAGACCCCAAACACTGGAGTTATTCCTGACTCTTTTCTCATCTGGTCCAGCAGTAAGCCTTGTTCAGTCTACCTCTAAATTACATGCAGAATGTGACGACTTCTCATTCTTCTGCTGCTGTCTCCCTGATCAGAACCACCACCGTTTCTCACCTGGGCTGCTGCATAACATCCTCCCTGGTCTCTTGCTTCGGCTCTTGCCCCTCACAGTCTATACTCAACACAGAAAACAGGGTGATCCTGTCAAAACGAAGTCAGATCCTGTCACTCCTCTGCTCTCAATCCTCCAGTAGTTTCTCATTTCACTCAGAGTAAAAGACAAAGTCTTTGAACCAATCCACCACTCTCCCTCTTGCTCATTCTGCTTGAGTCACACTGGCCTTAGTGCTCCTCAACTATGCTGAGTCTCACCACCACATGGCCTTTGCACATGTCATTCCCTCTGCCAGAATAGACATCTTCATGACTTCCTCCCTTGCAGCCTTCAGGTCTCTGATCCAATGTCACCCATCCCATTTGAAATTGCAATCAGCTCTCCCGTCATTGTCCACCCCCCTTGCATGGCTTTATTTTCCTTCATAGTATTTATCACCATCTGTCATATCACACATTTATATGTGTGTTGTCTCTCTTTTCCATGAAAATATTCATCCCTTAAGAACAGAGACTTTGCCTTATTTGGTTCCTTGCTGTATTCGCAGCGCCTGGCATCAGTGTGTGCTCAATAGCTCTTTGAATGAATGAATGAGTGAACAGCAGGTTGAGGTTCCATGAGTAAGAGGTCGGATTAATCTGGTTACTTAGGGGATAGTGAAGAGATGAGTTTGGAGCGGGGGAGGGAGGATACATGGCAAGGGAGTGGGGTGTGTAGGTCTGGATGAGGGGTGTGTGTGTGTGCTTGTTGGTGTGTCCATGCCTTCACCTGTGTGTGGTCCCCTGGGAGGCAGAGAAGACCATGGGGCCTGGGAAGGTTGGCAGGGGATCAGACTGAATTTTGGTTGATGGAGAGTCCCTGAGGTTCTTCCATGAAGGAGTTTCTGGGAGAACGAGACATCTGGAGATGCTGTCTGATAGCCGTGTGCAAGAGGGACCATGGGGGTGGAGTGGAGGGCAGGAGACCTCTGAGAGGCAAGGAGAGAGGGGCACTGGGGTCAAGTGGTCCTACAGGGTGTCCGTTTGTCTGGGCCTTTGGCTCTTCCTATGTGTGTTCTTGCAACACTTCCCTAATTGGTCATCAGAATGATTTTTATGCAGCCTGAACATAATCAGGCCGCTCCCTCACTCAAGAACCCCATGGCCGCCTCCCACTGCCCTCCATTTTTAGTGTGCCGTTGACGAGCCTTCAGAACGTGGCTCTCCCACCCTCTCCTCATGCACCCTGACTCCAGCCAGGCCCAGACGTGCCCTCTTCCCAAAAATGCCACCCGCTCCGCTCCTCTACCCCGTTGCTCTTGCTGTTTCCTTCACTTGGAATTCTTTCATTCATTTCACAAACAATCGTTGGAGGCCTCCTGGGTGCTGGAGACTCTTCTAGGTTCTAGAAATATAGCAGTCGAAACAATAGATGTGATCCCTGCCTCTTCTCTCCTGCCCCTCCACGAAGCCTGGGATAATTAGGACTCTTGGTTGTAAGCGACAGAAAGCAATGTAAGCAAAAAAGTTAATTTATTGTCTCACATTATTGAAAACTCTACGGGTAGACCATGAGGCTTCAGGCAAGGCTGGATCCAGGATCTCACTCTCTCCAACTCTCAGAGCCTTTGTCGGGCATGCTCTCCCCTTGGAGAAAGATGTCTGCCAGCAGCCCCGGAGTCACACCCTGTCTCCTCAGGACCTCAGAAAGTCCCCATCTCAACAGTTGGGTGCTGTTACCTGAAGGAGGTGGCCTGGGTCTTGGGCAGGCAAAACTACAAGGGTCCCAATTCCAATGGCAGTCCCGGCATCCCTGCCCACCCCAGCCAGGGGCCAGGCTTCCCTCCCCTGAACATCCTGCTAGCTGGGGAGAGTAGGGGGCCCCAGAGGGTGGGGAAAGAGGGCTCAGGGTCTTTGGCCCTCCTCCCTCCAGGTCCCCGTGTCCATGTGCTCCAAGAACTGCCAGCCCGGGCAAAGGAAGAAGGTGGTGGGCATGCACCCGTGCTGCTTCGAGTGTATCGACTGCCTCCCCGGCACGTTCCTCAACCAGACTGCAGGTACGGCTCTCAGGCCCATGCCCCTGCCCTGTCCTGCCGCTCTCCGGGGCCCCTCCCCTTTGTCAGGCTCTCTGGGGTCTCCCCCAGGGGACATAACTGTCCAAAGGCCAGGGACCATGTCTGATTCCTCTTGGATCTCCCCAGTTCCTGGTGCGGAGCAAAATCCGCAATGCCTCCAGGAGGGTGGAGAAGGCACAGCCCTCACCCAGGCGGGGCCGTGACTGACCCCCGCTCCACACACACCCCACCGAGGCCCGGGGCCGTCAGGCCAGGGAGGGTCCAGGGATGAAGACTGAGGAATGGTGCATGGCTCTGCCAACAGAAGCAACGTTTCCGGGCGGCAGGGACAGTACCTGACCTCTTCTTCTGGCCTCCCAAGTGCTTAGTTCGGAGCATATGCTGTTTACTCAGGCAATGTTTACTGAATGACTTCCTCTGCTGGAAGAATTAACATGCCTCCCTAGAGGACGCAACCTCTGGAACGGTGGGGACAGCATTGTCTCTCTGTCCACCTTAGTGTTTAGCATAGTTCAGAGTTGGGGCTCAAATCTCTTTTCATGGCTTTGCTGACTAGTAGATTAAGTGGATGCAAACGTCCAGCAACCCGAGGACTTACTCTGTGCCCAGCAGAGCACAGGGCGCCGAGTGGGTGCTCATCTGGCTTGTCGAATCATTTCACTGGCCGTCCTCCCCCGGCTGGTCCATAGCCCGGAGGCAGGGGCTGGGTGTTACCCGTCTCTGTGGCCTCTCACTCCGGGTGCCTATGACAGTGATGGTGCTCAAGAAATATTCGTCGAATGGAGTCTTTGAAGAAATGGGTGACTGTCTCTCCCATCAGAGGCTGGGGTCTTGGAAGGAACGAATCACAGTTGTGAGGCTGTGAGTCAGGGAGACCTCGGTTCAAGTCCTTCCTCTCTAACTTACCGCCTTTGTGACGTTACCTCGCTGAGCCTCGGTCTCCTCATCTGTGAAATGGGGCTGCCATGAGGAATCAATGAGCCGGGGTGTAAGGGACCCATGAGTGTTGGCCATGATGGCGGGGGCTGCCCGCGTGTCTCTCTCTCCGCCCCTGGGGATGAGCCCAGGGCAGCCCGGAGCAGGCAGGTGCTGGGAAGGTGGCTTGGCTGACGGGGTGCTGTGGGCTCTTGCAGATGAATTTGACTGCCAGCCCTGCCCGAGTAACGAGTGGTCCCACAGGAACGACACGTCCTGCTTCAAGCGGCGGCTGGTCTTCCTTGAATGGCAGGAGGCGCCCACCATCATTGTGATCACGCTGGCCGCCCTGGGCTTCCTCAGCACCCTGGCCATCGTGGTCATCTTCGGGATGCATTTCCAGACGCCCATGGTCCGCTCGGCCGGGGGTCCCATGTGCTTCCTCATGCTGACGCCGCTGCTGGTGGCGTACATGATGGTCCCCGTGTACATAGGGCCGCCCACCGTCTTCTCCTGCCTGTGCCGCCAGGCCTTCTTCACCATCTGCTTCACCATCTGCATCTCCTGCTTCACCGTGCGCTCCTTCCAGATCGTCTGCATCTTCAAGATGGCCAGCCGCCTCCCGCGCGCCTACGCCTACTGGGTCCGCTACCACGGGCCCTACGTCTTTGTGGCGTTTGTCACGGCGCTCAAGGGGGTCATCGTGGCGGGCAACATGCTGGGCATGACCACCGAGCCCTCCACCCATGCCGACCTCGATGACCCCAAGATCATGATTGTCTCCTGCAACCCCAACTACCGCAAGGCGCTGCTGCTGAACACGAGCTTGGACCTGCTCCTCTGCGTGGCGGGCTTCAGCTTCGCCTACACGGGCCGCGAGCTGCCCACCAACTACAACGAGGCCAAGTTCATCACCTTCTGCATGACCTTCTATTTCACCTCCTCCATCTCCCTCTGCACCTTCATGTCCGTCTACGACGGGGTGCTGGTCACCATCCTGGATCTCCTGGTCACGGTGCTCAACCTCCTGGGCATCGGCCTGGGCTACTTCGGGCCCAAGTGCTACATGATCCTCTCCTACCCGGAGCGCAACACGCAGGCCTACTTCAACAGCATGATTCAGGGCTTCACCATGGGCAGGGACTAGCGCTGCCACTGCACAGCGGGCCTTGCGTCGGGAGGCGGGGGCCAGAGGGCTCGCTCGTTCAACTCCGGACGGATGAGGGAAGCCATCCCTGACTTTCCACCCATCCCTGGTCTCTGATTTGGTGTCCCTCCAAGGTTCTCCGCATCCTGGCCGTTTTTACCCACCTGGTGATGGATGCCTAAAAACACACACACTTTGTTCCTTTCCCTTGAGTTGTTTAGCTTGCCAGGCACTAGAAAAACGGCCTGAGGTGACCCATTGGTCTCCAAGGACAGAGTCCGATTGAGTGGCCTACAGTCGCCATCTGGTGGTCACAGCGGTATCTGCACGTTGGCTCACGCCCTTCGCTCCTGGTCGGGGAAGAGAAGCCACTCTGGTGGGTGGGCCGGGGGAGCTGGGGTCGGTGTGGGAGGAGGTGAGCTCAGCCAGTGCTGCCCTGGCCTCCTTCATTAGCTGCGCGCACACCTGGGGCTCCTCTCCCGGCTTCTCCCAGAGCTCAGACCCCAGCTCCTCTGTTACCTCCGAGCAACGGCTGGGCACCGTGGGCGCTTCATAAATGCTCGTAAATAAACCTCACCTGGGTGAAATGAACAAGTTTCCTTCTTGTTTCCAGGGGTCCCCTGGGAAAGAACTTGTGGGGTCAGAGAGACCTCCGTTTGGGTCCCCACGTAGCCTCTTCCGAGCTGTGGACCTCGGATAGATTCTTTGCTGCCCCCAAGCCTGCACTTCCCCTTCACTAAAATGGGGACCAGTGAGGACATTTAAGGGTCAGACGTAATGTGTATAAAGTGCATACAGTAGGCACTCAATAAATGCCAACCACTGCAAATCCACATGTCCCTGGAACCATCAGGGACAAAATAAGATTGTGTTTCCTTTGTACACCCCGATGACCACGTACATGCTCTCGTCCACGGCGCTCGTCTCTGTTGGAAACTAGCCCCATGCCAGCAAATTCTGGGTGTTGTCTTGGGGTCCTCGGGCCTCACTCATGCTCCAGAGCCAGCATGGGCCATGGCCTTGTCACCTTGGCATGGCCGAGCCTCGGAGACGCTGGGCTGCCGGGCATGGCTGTGCTGTGTTGACCCTGCCACTGCCAGGATGGGTGCCAGCAGCAGGAAGGGCTCTGACTTCCCTGTCCGGGGACCAGACCTGGCCTCTCACAGACCCCCAGGGAACCGGAACTTCAGTGCTGAGCCCTCCAAACTGCTGCTCAGAGAGGTTGAGCGGCCAGTGCAGGTGCACCCAGCTCACAGGTGGCAGAGCTCCCGGCCTCAGGCGGGGGGACAGGCTCCCTGAAGACCCGTTTCTGTGGTGCCGTGGCCGCCTCAGGGCTCCCAGGAGTGGTTTAGCGTTTGGCCGGCCCGACTCTGCAGGAGCAAATTCCAGAAGCTTATTTGCAGTGGGAGGGCAGGACTGGCTCCTCCTTGTCCTGAATTTACCTCTTTCAAGCTTCAAGGTGGTGGGTGGTGGGATCTCAGCTTGACTCATCTGGGATTTGGGGAACCGGCCTTCCCATTTTTGGACCACTTCTCCTTAACGGCCGGGATGGTCCCTGCGTCTCCTCCGTGAGCCTCTCTCCAGAGCCGGGCACGCGGCGGTGCTCCGTGCGTGTTGATGGAACAGCTGAGGCCCCGTCGGATTCCTTCCCCTTCTCCCCCACCACCCATCCCCTCAAACCATCACCTCCTTCATTCAGTTCACTTCTCACGGCCTCGGGTGCCGGACGCTGAGAGGATTCAGAAACACAGAACAAATATTTGTACTTCCAGGCGACGAGGACAACGGCCAACACTTGCTCCCCTCCCAAGCACTTGCTTGCTTCATCTACTCAGTCCTCACAGAACCCTATTAGTCGGGTAGCGTCAGCATCCTCTGACACAGATAGGGAGAAAAAGGGGCGCCAAGAGGTTGTGAAACTTCCCCAGCCCCGCGCAGCGCACCCGCGGAACCGCGCCCTGCTGTGGAGTAAGACCCGGGCCGGCCTGGAAAGCTGCTTCAGGGGAACCGCGGTCACTGTGGGGAGACTTGGGGTCCCCGCCGAGGCAGCGTGGGGTGCTGGGGGCTTCAGATTTTAGGGAGGTGGCTGGCGGCTGCGGTGACCAGGGAAGACGTTGGGGGAAGCCAGGATTTGGAAAGAGCCTGGAAGGGCTGAGAAGTGTTTGGGAGGCGGGAGGTTTTAGCCGGGAAGGATGGCAGGGGACAGCAGGAGCAGAACAGGGGTACGAGGAGGCCCAGGGCAGCTCGGACAGGAGCCCGGGGCTGAGGGTGGCCAGATGGTGAGAGGCAAGCTTGGAAGGATGGCTGAGCTACACATGGGGGACCCTAGTCTTCCCTGGTGGCTGCTGCAGACGTCTGTGCACAGGCTGGCTTGCCCTTCTCCTGGGGCACCCAAGGTGATGTTCCTGGCCTTCCCTCTCCTGTTTGACCAGCCTCTCTGGCTTGGTCCTCTTTCCACAGTCCTGGGCTTTGTCCTGGCCCGGTAGGCTGGAGACTGCCAGGAGAAGACCCCAAGGACAGACTGTTGGTGTGAGCTTCCCTCCTCCACGTGCTTCCCAGGGGAGCCCCGAGCCTCGGCTGAGACCCCTCCTGGCCCCCAGCTTCCGGGGAGCGGCTCTTTGTCGTCTGTTCCCGGCTGTGCCTGTGTCCCGTCCCCCTCACCCTCGGGACCAGATTGTCAGGCTCAGGGAGTTTTAAGCTCTTAATTCTCTTTTCTTGCCTGCTTCTGACGCCCTGGTTTAAATCTTTTTTTTTGAGAGATAATGACCTCATTTTTCTGGTTCTGCCTCACGGACCGCCATTAGAGAGAGAATCCGGAATCCCGCCGACCTCAGAGGCTCCACACCTCCTCCAGCTGCCCTGAGCTGAGACCTTAATCCTTTCTTGTTCCCCTCCAGTGACGGGAGACTCATTGAGGACAATGCTAGCTAGAAAATTCTTCCTAGATTAAATCAAAACCGAACTGTCTGTGTCTTCCATTTATGGCCACCAGTTTTATCCTTTGGGACCACAGATTGAGTCTCTTTCCTCTTTCTCATGATGGGCTTTTGTATGTCACAACAGAAAGAATAATTGACTTCCTAGGAGCACCTACTGTGTGCCAGGTGCTCGACTCGCGTTATCTCTAATGCCCACAAGGACCCTGACTGGTGGGTCCCAGTGACCCTGGTACCCAGTGATGGGTACCAGTGGCCATGTGCTGATCCTCCCAGCATCCCTTCCCTCCCACCCTACCCAGCAGCCCTGCCTCCCAAGGGAGATCTGTGGGTGCCAGGGGAGCTGACTCCGTGTCCTGGCTCCAGGGGGCGGAGCAGGTGACCTGGGCCAGGCCAATCAGCACCCGCCCTTCCCTTGGCAGCACTGATTGGCTCAGGGGTGGGCACGTGACCTGAGTTGGTCCAATCAGAGAGAGGGACTCTCAGGACTTCTTCCTCTGGGAACCAGCAAGACTACAGATGCAGGAGCTGAGGGTGGCTCTCGTGGGACCACAAGCAAGTCAGCTTCAGAGGAGAGCTGGACCTGGCAGGAGGCAAAGTGGAAGGGTGGGACACCTGGGTCCTCGGAGCCTTTCTGAGCGGATGGCTCTTGCCTGCAGGCAGCCTGACCTCTGACGTCTTCCGTTTCACAAGGCCAGTAATATCCACTGTTGCTTCAGATAGTTCGAGCTGGGTCTTCTGCCACTCGCAACCCCAAATGCATCCTTATCCTACTGAAGAGGCTGCTGAAGCTCAGAGATGTTCTGGAGCTCAGAGAAAGGAAAGGGAGGTGGAGGGAAGGGAGGGAGAGAGACTGAGAGGAAGAGAGAAAGGGAGGGAGGAGGAGAGATAGAGAGATGGAGAGACTGAGAGAAGGAGAGACAGAGATTGTCCAGCTGTGTGACTTGGGGTGAGATAATGTACCTCTCTGAATTGCTGTTTCCTTATAAAAAGGGGTGATGGTCATGGTCCTGGCCCACAGGGCTGCCTGGGGATCACATGGGACGCCCCATGTGAAGCACTCGGCAGGAAGCCGGGCGCAGAGCGAGTACTCGGCAGTGTCAGCTACAATCATTGTAAGGAATTGGACTTCGTCCTAAGAGACGAACTTGGAGGGTTTTTGAAGAGAGGAAACCAGCAGTGTGGGTCTGAGGGAGGACGCAGGGAGACCCCTCGACTGTCGGCCACCAGGTCCAGGTGAGAGAGGATGGTGGCCTGGCCCGGTGGCGGCCATGGAGATGGGGCAGCATCAATACTCTCTGGTGACAGACTGGCCCTGGAGTGAGGACGGGGACCCTGGTTTGGGTGGTGGCTGGCTGGGAAAGCTGTCGGCTGGGTGGGTGTGGACCACCTAAGAGTCAGACGGGACCACCAGTTCATTCACACCACCCTCGAGCCTCTGTGCAGCCCTGGGCCCGGCCTCGTGTGGGGCTGAGCCACTTTATAAAGGTCTCCCGGGGTGGGCCCAGGAGCCCTGGATGCGGGGGGCTGGCAGGAGCTTGTAGACACGCCGGGAATTCAGGGCCAAGTGGGTGATTCCCAGCCCGCCTCTCTCCACCAGCAGGAGCATCGTCTCCTCCGACTCTCTGGGAACTGGGGATGAGGCTGAATCTCCACGGGCCTCAGATCTCCCGCCAGGCCCCCTGAGGAGGCCCTCGGACCTGCCACCGTCCCCTTCTGCAGGGCAGCGGGAGGTGCAGGGCTTTCCATGCATCGAGGCGTGGGCCCATCTGCTTCCAGTTAGCAGCTCCGGGGGAGCCTAATTGGCAGATCAAACCCTTCGATGTTCCGTGTTAGGTAAGTAGTTAGAGCAGCCCCCGCGGAGGCTGACACTTTTGGACGGAGCCCAAGCCCTCCGTCGGACCACCTCGGGCCTGGGGCGCTAATGGGAACCAGACCTCGCGCCGGAAGGGGGAGGATAGTCACAGGTGTCAAAAAGCTTTGAATCGCCGGGCAGATGCGGCTCTGGCCCCGCCCTCCGGCCGGGGTGGGCGCGGGGCCCCTGAAACTCAAGCCTGAACGTTGAGGAGGAGGGAAGAGCTCCCGGAGGGCGGTTTCCTCTGAGACATCCATCCGAGAGCTGGCGGGTCCGGCAGAGATGGACATAGCGGGAAGCTACCGGGCTCCGAGCGGAGAGACCTCAGTTTTTGCTTCCTGGAGGCCCTGCTGTGGGTGGCACGCCGTGAAGGGCTGGCTTTCACTGTGTGACTTTGGGCTGGTGGCTTTACCTCTCAGAGGCTCAGCTTCCACATCTGTAAAATAGGAACAACCCTTGTCCATCACTCAAGGTGCACAGATTCGCTTCAGACCCCAGCTGTGCTGGTTACTGCCTTGGGCGTGATACCCAACCTGTCAGAGCTTTTCTAACGTCATCTGTGGAGCAGGTGACTGACAGGAACCATCCCCTTGGGGCTGCTGTGAGGGTTAAATACACGGAAAGTACTCAGAACTGTGACCGGCCCAGAGTCAACGCTGTGTGAATGCCAGCATGTGTATTGGTCAGCGTTTGATAGGTTATGCTACGTGACAAACATCCCCCAAATGCCAGTGGTTTACAGAGCGAAGATGAATTCCTTTCTTGTGTCACAAGGTGGCCGTGGGCTGCCTGCAACTCTTCCCCATGTGTCTTCTTTCCAGGATCCAGCAGAGCGAACAGAGAGATGGCAAAATCTTTTAAAGCTTCTGTGTGGGGTGGCACACGTCACTTCTTTTTCAGGTGGCATACGTCACTCGTGCTCCCATTTCATTGGCCAAAGTGCATCACGTGACCCAGCCTGATGTTGATGGGATGGGAAAGTAAATCCTGTCACCTGGAAGGGCAGTGAATGTGCAGAGGACA